ACTTCAGATATCATACTCTCATACGTGCTTTATATAACGTTCGCAAAATTTAGTTTTCAGTTTTTTTATTAAATATCATTCTTGATTGATTAATTGATAATATTTGCAAAAAATAATAATAACGAAAAACACTCAAATGAGGTCATTTTATTTTGACAAAATGCGGCACTATTTGATACATATAAATTGAAGACCCTGTTCTGAAAATAAAACACAAATATTCAAAATAGAAGTCTCGAGAGTTAAAAATAAAAAATGAAATATTTAATATTTAAAATTTTGTATTATCTTAAGAATCGCATAAAAATAAAAACAAAATACTATAAAAAGAACATTTTAAATAAATCAGCCCTATTCTAGAATATTTAAGCGTCTAACGTTCTGAAAGATAAACTAATTTGATATTTTCAATAAAATAGTGAAATTGTATGTTATTAGTTTAACTTTTTGAACTGTCAAGTATTTTTTTATGGATATAGCGACTAGGAATTTTTTCTTGACTAGACCCCAGATTATAGACCACAATCTATTTGTGACTATAGTCTACAAACCGAAATATATTTTCTCTACCATAGAACAAACAAAAAGTTGTCCCGACTACAGTCCAGAGCTGAATCTTGACTACAGACCAGAGTTAAGTAAACCAAAATATATTCCCGGCTATACACCAAACAGTTATCTCGACTATAGACTATAAACCAGACTATAGTCACGACTATAGAGAGGCTATATTTTAAACTACTATAGACCAGACTATGGTCTTGACTATAGACCAGACTATGGTCTTGTCTATAGACCAGACTATAGACCAGACTATAGTCTTGACTATAGACCAGACTATAGTCTTGACTATAGACCAGACTATAGTCTTGACTATAGACCAGACTATAGTCTTGACTATAGACCAGACTATAGTCTTGACTATAGACCAGACTATAGTCTTGACTATAGACCAGACTATAGTCTTGACTATAGACCAGACTATAGTCTTGACTATAGACCAGACTATAGTCTTGACTATAGACCAGACTATAGTCTTGACTATAGACCAGACTATAGTCTTGACTATAGACCAGACTATAGTCTTGACTATAGACCAGACTATAGTCTTGACTATAGACCAGACTATAGTCTTGACTATAGACCAGACTATAGTCTTGACTATAGACCAGACTATAGTCTTGACTATAGACTAGACTATAGTCTTGACTGTAGACCAGACTATAGTCTCGACTATAGACCAGACTATAGTCGTGACTATAGACCAGACTATAGTCTTGACTATAGACCAGACTATAGTCTTGACTATAGACCAGACTATAGTCTTGACTATGGACCAGACTATAGTCTTGACTATAGACCAGACTATAGTCTTGACTATAGACCAGACTATAGTCTTGACTATAGACCAGACTATAGTCTTGACTATAGACCAGACTATAGTCTTGACTATAGACCAGACTATAGTCTTGACTATAGACCAGACTATAGTCTTGACTATAGACCAGACTATAGTCTTGACTATAGACTAGACTATAGTCTTGACTGTAGACCAGACTATAGTCTCGACTATAGACCAGACTATAGTCGTGACTATAGACCAGACTATAATCCTGACTATAGACCAGACTATAGTCTTGACTATAGACCAGACTATAGCCTTGACTATAGACCAGACTATAGTCTTGACTATAGACCAGACTATAGTCTTGACTATAGACCAGACTATAGTCTTGACTATAGACTAGACTATAGTCTTGACTGTAGACCAGACTATAGTCTCGACTATAGACCAGACTATAGTCGTGACTATAGACCAGACTATAATCCTGACTATAGACCAGACTATAGTCTTGACTATAGACCAGACTATAGCCTTGACTATAGACCAGACTATAGTCTTGACTATAGACCAGACTATAGTCTTGACTATAGACCAGACTATAGTCTTGACTATAGACCAGACTATAGTCTTGACTGTAGACCAGACTATAGTCTCGACTATAGACCAGACTATAGTCGTGACTATAGACCAGACTATAATCCTGACTATAGACCAGACTATAGTCTTGACTATAGACCAGACTATAGCCTTGACTATAGACCAGACTATAGTCTTGACTGTAGACCAGACTATAGCCTTGACTATAGACCAGACTATAAGTCTTGACTGTAGACCAGACTATAGTCTTGACTATAGACCAGACTAATAGTGACTATAGTCTTGACTATAGACCAGACTATAGTCTTGACTATAGACCAACTATAGTCTTGACTAGACCAGACTATAGTCTTGACTATAGACCAGACTATAGTCTTGACTATAGACCAGACTATAGTCTTGACTATAGACCAGACTATAGTCTTGACTATAGACCAGACTATAGTCTTGACTATAGACCAGACTATAGTCTTGACTATAGACCAGACTATAGACTAATCTATAGTATTGACTATAGACTAAGCTATAGTCTTGACTATAGACCAAATTATAGTCTTGACTATAGCCAGACTATATTCTTGACTATAGACCAGACTATAGTCTTGACTACAGACCAGACTATAGTCTTAACTATATACCTAGAACAGAACTAGAACAGCAATCAGGGCATAGGGAGTAGGCCTTTCTTCCATTCCCTTATCAAAATTTCCTATCAGTGTATAGACTCTTCTATTTATCGAGTACCTACACTTGTATACAAACATATATACATATGTGTGTGGGATTTAAATTTTCACACCCCTTAATGTCTGGCACTACTACTAACCGGTGGACTACTCTTTACACTCTGTTCAAAAGACAATGATGTATTACGGCGACGATAAAAATGATGAGTTTTTATTTATTTTTTTTTTTGCCTCACGACATTCTGAAGTGGGATAAGAGACACTTTATTGTGGTATACAAATATATAAAAAAGAATTCCTGATAATATTACGTGTGAGAGTACATACAGTTTGGTTTAGTTTAGTTAGTAGAGTACAACATTTATTATGAACGTGTTAGCTGGACAGACATACTTTTTTTCTTAACGCTTTTTTTTCTGTTCTGTTTGCCGTAAGAACAAATAAACCAAAAAATATATCAACTCAAATAGTAGGTACTTGTTTAGTTTATGGCTGGATGTGTGTTTTTAAACGATGAGTATGCACTCGTAGAATCTTTTTTATTTTCGAAATGAGCGTGTAGGAAAAATAAGACAAAGAAATTAAAATATATATGCAAACATTTTATTTTAACAAGATAAGAGACAATGTTTTAAATAATAATGAATATAACAAATTGAGAAAGAGTGGCAAGCAATTTTTACTCACTCAATCACAATTTCGGTTCCTCTTCGTTTTTCCAATTAAAAAAAAGATAAATATTTGCAAAAATAAATTAATAATACAAATTTTGTGTACTTGGACCCTACTCTCTGGTGAAAGATATAGGAATTTTTTTCAAAGGAAATGTAACTTGAAATTAAGAAAAGCTTCAGAAATCTAATATCGATAGCAAATAGTGCCAAAAGTGACTAAAATTTGTAGGATTAGGATGATTATTCGTATATTTATTTTATTTAATAAAAGTTTCAGTTTGTTTTGGGTCAAAATTTGGTTAAATTTAATTAAAACATCAAAATGATTTTCAAATTATTCGAAATCTACTGATTTTCTTTATTCCACAGGGTTGCATTCGACGATTAATAGTTTTATTTAATCCAATAAGATCGTTCAGGGTTGCATTAAACAAATTTCCATACTTCAATCATGATTAGGGTTCTATAGTTGAAACGAAAAGTCGACTTTTCGACTTTTTTCATTTAGTTAAAAGTCGACTTTTCGACTTTTTGCATTTTATGAAAAGTCGATTTTTCGACTTTTTTCATTTAAATAAAAGTCGACTTTTAGACTTTTCGACTATAAGTATTTTATAAATAGTCGACTTTTCGACTTTTTCCGACTTTTTTCGACTTTTCGACTTTTCGACTTTTTTCGACTTTTTCGACTTTTTCCGACTTTTTCTACTTTTCGATTTTTTCGACTTTTTCACTATTTTCGACTTCTTTCTACTTTTTTCCGACTATTTTTTTACTTTTTTCGAGTTTTTCCGACTATTTTAGAGTTTTTGACTTTTTTTCCACTTTTTTAAAATTTTTGACTATTTTTGACTTGTTTCTACAATTTTTGATTTTTCGACTTTTTCCGACTTTTCGACTTTTTACGACTTCTCGACTTTTTCGACTTTTTTCGACTTATCGACTTTTTTCGACTTATCGACTTTTTTCGACTTATCGACTTTTTTCGACTTATCGACTTTTTTCGTCTTTTCGACTTTTATTAACAAAGTCGACTTTTCGACTTTTTTCACAGACGATAGTCGAGTTATCGACTTTTTTGGAACAAAATAGTCGACTTCGACTTTTTTCGACAAAAAGTCGATTGTTCGATTATTCGAAAGTCGATTTATAGAACCCTAATCATGATCTAGTTATTAGAGTTGCATTTTTTACTAATTTTCTATCTATTAAAAAAAATTTTTGAATTTTATTTTAAGAAAATTTTTGAAACTTTCTTTTAGAAGATTTAAAACCTCCTTTTTTGAAATTTTCTTTCTTTTTTAGAAAATTTTCTTTGTATTATAGAAAATTATCAACATGTTCTTCCTTTTCGAACTTTATTTTAAATTCTTTTCGAAATTTTCTTATTAAATCAATTGCAACTCTGTGTTTACATTTTTCGAATTCCCTGTCTTTTTCTCAAACGATCTCGATTGACTACCTCTCTGCATAAACAACAACAATATATGAACATAGGGTACTCATTTTATTCGGCCATTGAGTGACCGACCACTTTGTTTTTCATGTTCTCTTTTTGTGATTTTCTTTTGCCTGTGTATTTGTTTCTTTTTTGCTTTTCATCTTTATTTTATTAATTACTGAAAAAAATGTACGCTCGTTGACTCAAATTCTCTCTCACACTCTAACTCTCTTGTTTATTTTTTTCTCTCTCATTAGGGTAAAGTATCGCATGAATCCATCAAACAGTTGGTACTTGAAGCAGAGCATTTAGTACGTGACGAAGCTTTGAAAACACCAACCAAACAAAAGCATTCCAGTAGTAACAACAATAATAATAATAATAACAGCGCCGGCGGCGGTAATATAGTGCAAATTTCCACAACTGTAAAAAAACGTGAAGTTTTAATGCCGGGTCCCATAAAACGAGTACAAGTAAGTAAAAGTTTTTTTGTTATTATTCAGGGGAAAAAAAAAACATGTAACATTGTTATATTTTCTTAACAGGAGTGGCTGGAACATCAACCCTCTACACCCGTACAAATGTCTAAAACTACAACATCCTCCAACCATCATCACTCTAGTGATGATCATCGTCAATTATTAACATCTGCCTGTGCTGCTGCCAGTCCCTCACGCACTGATGATTGTGAGGCCTCGGGTGAAGCCTCTGAAACGGATTCTATACCTCAACATTGTTCCGATACCTCAGAGGTTTCTGATTCCATAGCGACTTGCATGCAAACCAGTACAAATTCTTATGGTAATTCCACAGAACGTATTGGTGGTTCTGCCGAACCCATTGTCAATGCTGCTACCAGTAATCAAAGTCTTAATGTCAAGGTGGTGAAACGTCAACAGAATCGCCGTAAATCGGAGAGACCCTGGTCGGTGTCCTGTCTCTCGCAATTGACCACCGATGCCAATCAAGTGGCTGCCAAAGTTAATACCATTAGTAATGTACAATCTGGTTTAGCTTCTCATTCTATAAGTGAATCTGCCTTAGACTCTCTATCCCCTGGCAGGCCTAGAGCCTCCTCTTCCTCAGCTGTTACCCAAGTTAAGAGTTATGATAGTAAGGGTTCTCTGAAGAGACGTAAAACTCGCAAGAAGAAACTTTCCTATACGAATGGCAAAAAGTCGGATACAAATTCTGAGGACAATAATAGTCCACAACATCATCATCATAATTTATACAATCATCATCCTACAACTCATCAAGAGGAGGTGACCTTGACACCCAAACATGCTCCCAATTTATTAATGCAAACCTGTGAAAATATGACTCCTCAGCAGATACAGGAGATAACACAGGCCCTAATGCAATTACAAAATACCGAATCCACAGAACAATTACAACATCCTCAGTTATCAATTGTGGTTAATGGTGGCTCCAATGAAAGTGAGGAGGAAAATCATTTAATGAAACCAAATTTCCGTGTGGGTTCTTTCACCACTGCCTATATGACTAATGAGGCCCGTTTGGGGTCTTTGGCTGCTTTAGCTACTTATATGAACGATGAGGAACAGCAAGGAGGTGAGTTATTTTTTTAATTATTTCTATTTTTTTATAATGACGACATTATTAGTTTTTAAGTAGAAGTTAATTTTCGTGTTTATTATTTTAATATTTTTAATTATTAAAAAGTTTATTTGCTTTTATTTAAAAAACAATTAACTTGAAAGATAACACTATTTAATTTCTTATCGATTTGTGAAGGAAAATTTTCCAAAGAAAGTAAAGAAAAGTAATAACAAAAATGTTTAAGGGTATAGAAGAGTTCAAAAGAAACAGGTCTTCTTAAAGATTTTCTTTTATAAAGAGTTTGAATATTATATTTTGCTTAAAGAAAATGTAAACAAATAATACTTAACATAAGAAATTAATGGAAAAAGGAAGCAGTTCTCAACTTTTAAAATAAATTTTGATAACAATTATAAAAATGTCCTATCTTTTTCCTTAATTTCCTTTTAAATAGTTAAAATCTTAACAAAATAAATTCTCTTCCTTTTTTTATGTCCTTTTAACACAATCTAAATGTCTTTAAAATTGGTAAATTCCTTTACATATTGTGTAAATTTTCCTCTATAGTTTTGTTTTCAAAGGATATTGTTGTTGTTGTATACTCATAAATCCTTTTCTTGAATTTTCCTTTTAGCAAAATGCGCGCCAAACGTGGTACATATGACCAAAATTTGTTGTCTGTATGTATATTGCTTTCACTATTACAAAATTTCCACAATGAGTATGCGTGCATTCTCTCACTAACTATCTCTCAGCATGACCCCTGCGGAGAGAACAAGCAGCTGGTTTATTCTAATTGGCCTTGAGATGATTGCCTTGACATTTTTGTTTATAGTTTCCTCTACTATGTAATATTTAACAAATGTTAATTTCGATCATTTAAAGATCTTCAGATACAATTTTTTCATTTTTTTAATAATTTAAAAATTTTAAATTTCTCTTCAAAAGCTGAACAAATTGGTAATAGACTTTTGATTGAGAGAATTATTTTTATTTTTACATACATTTAAAGGACAAAGACTGTAAATTTGGAAAGGAAATTTGAAAAAGTACAGCACTAAATTTTGTAGATGTTGAGTTTAAGAATCTCTATCTATCTATCTATCTATCTATCTATCTATCTATCTATCTATCTATCTATCTATCTATCTATCTATCTATCTATCTATCTATCTATCTATCTATCTATCTATCTATCTATCTATCTATCTATCTATCTATCTATCTATCTATCTATCTATCTATCTATCTATCTATCTATCTATCTATCTATCTATCTATCTATCTATCTATCTATCTATCTATCTATCATACATGGGAATTTTTCATTAAGCATTAAAATTTCATTACCATTTATAGAAAAAATTGTAATGAAAAATATTTTAAGTACCATTTAATGAAAATTATATTTTTTTCATTATAACTTTTTTGATAATGGTAATGAATTTGATAATGAATTTTCAAAAACGAATTTAATTAGTATTTATAATTGTCGAAAAATATATTAAGGAAAATTTTTCGAAGATTCGAGGTTTGAAAGCTTTTAAAACCAGTTCCCGTGGCCCAAATTGGCTGAAATTTTGCAGTCATAAGTACATCTGATGACAATACAATAATATGTTCGAATATTCGAAATTAAGTTCGAAAATTCGAAGTTATTTTCGAAAATTTTTTTATGTTTTTAAATTAATCTCTGTGTCATAAAACCTAAAAAAAAATTTCGAAAATTCGAACTTGTGTTCGAAAAATTTTTAAAGCTGTTAAAACTAGTTCTTCTAGTCTGAATGTGCTGAAATTTGGCATACATGATTTCACCTAATGAAAATACATTATAATGTTCGGATATTCGAAATTAATTTCGAAATTCGAACTAATGTTCGAAAATTTTTAAAATCCATTGAATAATGGTAATGAAAATTTATTTTTAAATAATTACTAATGAAATCGTTTCATTAAAAAGCATTACCATTAGAGAAAATAATGCTAATGAAAAAAAAAAATAATTATAATTTTTTTCAATTTAATGCTAATGAAATCGTCAATTAATTAGTCGATATAATTAACTTCTCCCATGTATGCTATCTATCTATCTATCTATCTATCTATCTATCTATCTATCTATCTATCTATCTATCTATCTATCTATCTATCTATCTATCTATCTATCTATCTATCTATCTATCTATCTATCTATCTATCTATCTATCTATCTATCTATCTATCTATCTATCTATCTATCTATCTATCTATCTATCTATCTATCTATCTATCTATCTATCTATCTATCTATCTATCTATCTATCTATCTATCTATCTATCTATCTATCTATCTATCTATCTATCTATCTATCTATCTATCTATCTATCTATCTATCTATCTATCTATCTATCTATCTATCTATCTATCTATCTATCTATCTATCTATCTATCTATCTATCTATCTATCTATCTATCTATCTATCTATCTATCTATCTATCTATCTATCTATCTATCTATCTATCTATCTATCTATCTATCTATCTATCTATCTATCTATCTATCTATCTATCTATCTATCTATCTATCTATCTATCTATCTATCTTCTATTCTATCTATCTATCTATCTATCTATCTATCTATCTATCTATCTATCTATCTATCTATCTATCTATCTATCTATCTATCTATCTATCTATCTATCTATCTATCTATCTATCTATCTATCTATCTATCTATCTATCTATCTATCTATCTATCTATCTATCTATCTATCTATCTATCTATCTATCTGTCTATCTATCTATCTATCTATCTATCTATCTATCTATCTATCTATCTATCTATCTATCTATCTATCTATCTATCTATCTATCTATCTATCTATCTATCTATCTATCTATCTATCTATCTATCTATCTATCTATCTATCTATCTATCTATCTATCTATCTATCTATCTATCTATCTATCTATCTTTCGTTTTGAATATTTTCAAAATATTTTATTTATAACTGAAACTTAACATGACTTTGGTTTAACTTTTTCAAAGAAACTTTCAACTTATCATTGAACACTTTTATTAACGAAGTGCTTCACATACGTTGTTTTTCCAGACTTGAACAGTTTTATTACGTTTAAAATCATAATCATTTATTTTGAGTCATATTTTTAATTTGTTATTGTTTATATTTTTTCTTATTATTTTCATACTTCAACAAGTGTTTTAAGTTGATTTTTTATGGTCTATTTACTTTTAACTTTTTTGCATTTAAACTTAAACAAATATGAATTATTTTTCTTTATTTTACATTTGGTGGCTTTTGGTTTTCTTCGTTTTTTTTAATTAAGTTTTTTGACTTTATTTAATTAAAATGAAAGTTGGTTTTTGTATAGTATTTCAATTTATTTCAATTAACTTTTCAAGCACTCACACCAGTACCACAAGAAATTAAAACAAAAGGTATTTGGGTTTAAGTTCTAAAATTCACTAAAAGGGGGGAGACCTTAATTTAGGAATATTTATGTAGTAGAAAGTAAAGCCCTATATAAAACTAAAACTTATCCCAATTGAAAATAAAAACTATGTAGATTCTATAAATATCCTTCAATACAAAAGGATTTATCTCTATAATATTTATTAAGTTTATATTTCACTAAAGTTTATTTTTATTATTAAAATATTTTTTTAATATTTTGCTACTTTTTTATTCCAAACTGTTTAATAAACAGCCTCCCATAATAAAATATCAAGATAAAATTCTCTTCCAATTATTATAATATAAACAAGTATACATTTAGATACATTTAAACATACTTATCATTAGTGTCATAGATTGCAAAAATAAAATCACATTTATTAAAAATAAAATCCGCATGTGTATTTTTCTTATATTTTCCCCCCGAAATCAAATGCATGTTTGTTTTAAAAGCTTTTTTTATAAAATCTAAAATATATTTTTTCTCTAACTTTTCCCTTTAGAATACAACACTACTGGCACCGAAGATCATCATAGTAGTTTCTCCGAAACAGCCTGGGATAATTATCAAGAAAAATATAATTCTGAAAATTATTCTGAAGGTTTTGATTCAGATGCTGCACGTAAATTATTAGAATTTGGGGATGATTATCGGTAAGTTTTCAATAATTTAATAAGAAAATTTTCATACTTAATTATGTTTTCTCTTATTTCTACAGCAATTTCATTGACTCCCAGTCCGATTGTTGCTCTTCATTGTCGGCTGCTAATAATTTAGATTCATTCTCACCACCTCGCATGGATTCATTGCAACAGAATGAATCGAAAATCATAACACAAGATACAATTGTCAGTAGTGTGGATCATGCCAGACGTCGTAGAGCTTTAGAATTGGAATACGAAAGACGTCGCAAAAATTTAGAAATCAGACGCAAGTCTTGTCAAGGTAAACGAAAAAACAACAAACAAACATTTAAAAATATTAAAAGAAAAACCAACAGCAACTACAACAACAAATTATTTATATGTAGTGCAAATTAATAAACAAAAACAGCAGACAAAATATTTTGCAATAAAATTTCAAGGTTTTATAAGTTTGTGAAAAATCGAAATAAGTTTTTAAAGAAAACCCTTTGAAAATTTTCTTTAAAAAAAAAAATTCGAAATTTTTATAGAAAATTTTGAAAATTTCTAAAGAAGGTGTTTAAAAATCACATATTTCTATTGAATATTTTCTATGTTATAATATTTCTACAAAAAATCTCCTAAATTCGAATATTTTTTTTTACAGAGAATTTTCGAAATTCGAATGATTTTTATGAAAAGTCGAACTTCTATAGAAAATTTTCGAAATTCGTAAATTTTTTAAAGAAAATTTAAAAAATTTTTAATTTTTAAGAACAAGTTCGAATATTTTTATAGAAAATTTTTAAAATTCGTACATTTCTAAAGAAAATCTTTACTGAATATTTCCAAATTTTAATATTTCTATAAAAAATCTTCGATATTTGAATGTTTTTACAGAAAATTTTTGAAATTCGAATATTTTTTTAAGAAATTGTCGAAATTCCTAAATTTCTACAGAAATGTTTCAAAATTCGTAAATTTTTAAAGATTTTTGTTTTAATTTTTTGGAAAAAGTTTGAAAATTTTTTTAAATTATAAAAAATGTTCGAAAGTTGTAAACATTTAAAGAAAAAATTTAATTTTTTAGAATAATTTCGAATATATTTAGACACAATTTTCGAAATTCATAAATTTTTATAGAAAATTTTCGAAATCCGTAAAATTTTATAGAAAATTTTTCGAAATTCGTTAATTTTTATAGAAAATTTTCGAAATTCGTTTATTTTAAACAAAATTTTCGAAATTTATTGATTTTTATAGAAAATTTTCGAAATTCTATAGAATTTCTGTAGAAAATGTTCGAAATTCGTTAATTTTTATAGAAAATTTTCGAAATTCGTTTATTTTAAACAAAATTTTCGAAATTAGTTGATTTTTACGAAAAATTTTCGAAATTCTATAGAAAATATTCAAAATTTGTTAATTTTTAAAGAAAATGTTCGAAATTCGTAAATTTTTATAAACAATTTTCGAAGTTCGTTAATTTTTATAGAAAATCTTCGAAATTCGTTTATTTTATACAAAATTTTTAAAATTAGTTGATTTTTATAGAAAATTTTCGAAATTCTTAATTTTTAATGAATTTTCGAAATTTCTTAAAATTTTAGAAATTTCTTTAAATTTTGTAGAAAATTTTACAAGATATTTTCGAAATTCGTTAATTTTTTAGAAAATTTTCGAAATTCGCTTATTTTATACAAAATTTTCGAAATTAGTTAAATTTTTATACAAAATTATTGAAATCCGTTAATTTTTATGGAAAATTTTTAAAATTCGTTAATTTCTATAGAAAATTTTTAGAAATTTCAATGGAAAATTTTCGAAATTTGTATGAAAACTTTCAAAAATTGTTCATTTTTGTTAGAAAACTTTCGAATTGTCCACCTCTATTTATAGTTTTAAGCCAAATATTAATAATTTCCTTTCTCCCTTTCTAGAATCTTTGGAATATCACAATCCCAAATCACCAGCCGTTATCACGACTCTATCCTCCTCTACACAGGCTTTGACTCCGAAAAATTCTGATCGTTTCAATTTCCAACATAAAACAGAAACGGCAACACGTAAATTAGAATTTGGCATGAGTCATTCGGCCCAATCATTGCGTCGTACATCGGAAAGTGATACGTCACAGCGACGTCGTAAGGCCGATGAACGTAGACGTTCATCACGTAATCTAGAGAAATGTATTAAATTGATACCAGCAACATCATCTTCGTCGGGCGATGACACAGATGATGAAAAGGAAATACGTAATTTGTTGCAACAATCGCACAATCGTTTAGAAGATACAAAAGCATTAAAGATACGTTGTCATCTTTTAAGACCAGAAGATTATGTAAGTTGGAAAAGTTTAATTGATTAAGAAAAGATGTATAAGGAAATCATTTTGGAAAAGATTTTCAATTTACTTTAACATTTTTGTAAATAACTTATTTTCTATTCTCCCACTTTTTCTAGACTGAAATTATAAATACTTGTCGTGATAATATACGTTGCTTGGAATCAGTTCTCAAAGGTCCCACTAGTTCGGTTTTATCCTCACAGTGTGTTACACAATCTAAAGGTGAGTTAAAACTTTACATCCATATCGATTGTCAATGTGCGCCCATTACCCGTTTTATTGCTCGCATTATTGAATTCATACTCGACGTTAGTAATTTCCTAGAACATTTTACTTTATATAAGTTTTTCTTAAGTACTTTAAAAAATCTTTACACTTTAGTCAATTGTCATTTAACGAATATCGAAAGAGCTTTAGAATATTTTCGTAAACTATTGTAAATTATGTTAAATGAAAATGCATACTTTTTTTTAAAGAATTGTTAAATAATATGTTGCTGTTTCATATGTTTGCAAAATATACAATCGAATATCGAATAAAAGACAAAAATTGTGATAATTTTTTATAAAAACTTTAAAAAAAATTTTGTTATAAAAATTGAAAAAAAAAATGTTATATTTAATTATTATTTATTTGTTATGTTTAATTAAAAAATCTAAATTGTTTTTGAAAAAAAAAAATAAAATTTATAAAATTATTGAAATGTTAAAAGAATGAGAAATTTAAACTATATTTAGAACATTCGTATCATCAAATTTTAATTAATATTATTCGAATATTTTAATTAATATTATTCGTTAATTTTTAGTTTTAATTTCAAAAAAAAGTGCCTTAACTTTTGCTTTTTAAAAAGAAAATTGATTTGAAATCATCAATTTAATGAAACTATAAAGTATTTTTGTAATATTAGAATTATGACTATCTTCTTGGTCATAGACTAGACTATAGACTAGACTATGGACTAGACTATAAACTAGACTATAGACTAGAGTATAGACTGGCCTATAGACTAGGCTATAGACTAGACTATAGACTAGACTATGGACTAGACTATATACTAGACTATTGACTAGACTATAGACTAGACTATTGACTAGACTATAGGCTAGATTATAGAACTTATAGACTAGATATAAACTTGACTATAGACTAGACTATAGACTAGACTATAGACTAGACTATAGACTAGACTATAGACTAGACTATAGACTAGACTATAGACTAGACTATAGACTAGACTATAGACTAGACTATAGACTAGACTAGACTAGACTATAGACTAGACTATAGACTAGACTATAGACTAGACTATAGACTAGACTATAGACTAGACTATAGACTAGACTATAGACTAGACTATAGACTAGACTATAGACTAGACTATAGACTAGACTATAGACTAGACTATAGACTAGACTATAGACTAGACTATAGACTAGACTATAGACTAGACTATAGACTAGACTATAGACTAGACTATAGACTAGACTATAGACTAGACTATAGACTAGACTATAGACTAGACTATAGACTAGACTATTGACTAGGCTATAGACTAGACTATTGACTAGACTATTGACTAGACTATAGGCTAGACTATAGGCTAGACTATAGACTAGAATATAAACTAGACTATAGACTAGACTATAGACTAGACTATAGACTAGACTATAGACTAGACTATAGACTAGACTATAGACTAGACTATAGACTAGACTATAGACTAGACTATAGACTAGACTATAGACTAGACTATAGACTAGACTATAGACTAGACTATAGACTAGACTATAGACTAGACTATAGACTAGACTATAGACTAGACTATAGACTAGACTATAGACTAGACTATAGACTAGACTATAGACTAGACTATAGACTAGACTATAGACTAGACTATAGACTAGACTATAGACTAGACTATAGACTAGACTATAGACTAGACTATAGACTAGACTAGACTAGACTATAGACTAGACTATAGACTAGACTATAGACTAGACTATAGACTAGACTATAGACTAGACTATAGACTAGACTATAGACTAGACTATAGACTAGACTATAGACTAGACTATAGACTAGACTATAGACTAGACTATAGACTAGACTATAGACTAGACTATAGACTAGACTATAGACTAGACTATAGACTAGACTATAGACTAGACTATAGACTAGACTATAGACTAGACTATAGACTATAGACTAGACTAGACTAGACTATAGACTAGACTAGACTATAGACTAGACTAGACTATAGACTAGACTAGACTAGACTATAGACTAGACTATAGACTAGACTATAGACTATACTATAGACTAGACTATAGACTAGACTATAGACTAGACTATAGACTAGACTATAGACTAGACTATAGACTAGACTATAGACTAGACTATAGACTAGACTATAGACTAGACTATAGACTAGACTATAGACTAGACTATAGACTAGACTATAGACTAGACTATAGACTAGACTATAGACTAGACTATAGACTAGACTATAGACTAGACTATAGACTAGACTATAGACTAGACTATAGACTAGACTATAGACTAGACTATATACTAGACTATAGACTAGACTATAGACTAGACTATAGACTAGACTATAGACTAGACTATACTATACTAGACTAGACTATAGACTAGACTATAGACTAGACTATAGACTAGACTATAGACTAGACTATAGACTAGACTATAGACTAGACTATAGACTAGACTATAGACTAGACTATAGACTAGACTATAGACTAGACTATAGACTAGACTATAGACTAGACTATAGACTAGACTATAGACTAGACTATAGACTAGACTATAGACTAGACTATAGACTAGACTATAGACTAGACTATAGACTAGACTATAGACTAGACTATAGACTAGACTATAGACTAGACTATAGACTAGACTATAGACTAGACTATAGACTAGACTATAGACTAGACTATAGACTAGACTATAGACTAGACTATAGACTAGACTATAGACTAGACTATAGAATAGACTGATAGACTAGACTATAGACTAGACTATAGACTAGACTATAGACTAGACTATAGACTAGACTATAGACTAGACTATAGACTAGGACTATAGACTAGACTATAGACTAGACTATAGACTAGACTATAGACTAGACTACACTAGACTAGACTATAGACTAGACTATAGACTAGACTATAGACTAGACAATAGACTAGACCTATAGACTAGACTATAGACTAGACTATAGACTAGACTATAGACTAGACTATAGACTAGACTATAGACTAGACAAGACTAAATCGGAAGGAGATACAAAGTCACTGGCAAAATCCTCAGAAACGCTTATTTTAAAGAAATTGTATTCAATTGGCGAATTTTTAAAATTTCCTGCAATTTCATTGGAAAGAAATGTTTTGGAATCTTAAATTGTTTTCATTTCCATATAATATTGAAATTGAAAGGTTTCTAATGAATTTTCTTAAATTCTAATTTCTATATTCCACTTTTTTTAAGCTTTAATTTGTATTTTATAATTAAATTTTAAATCTTATAATTACACCGCCTTAGTAAGATAATTTTAAAATCCTTTTTTCAAAATTTCTTTATTTGAATAAAATAACAAAATTTACTTTTGCTAAAGAAACTAAATTTATGTCTAATTTCTTTTTTTATTCTAAAGCCAAAAAGGTATAATATTTTTTTCTATTCATTTAATTGTATATTGTGTGTTTGTTTTATTTAATAAATTTTGTTATAGTTTAACGTAAATTGTCCTTAATTTTAAGTGTAGATTTTTTATAAAGTACTTTTATGTTAAAATTAACTTATAAAATTTAAAGTAAAATTTGAATTCTAATAACGGTAATGGGCTCACATAAGTAATATATAAATATTTTCTTTATAAATTGTGTTTGTTGTAGTAGTAGAATGATGTCTATGTTGATATAATTTTAAAACAGAAAACGACAGTTTTCGGTCATATGATTTACAAGACGTAAACAACTTTTGTAACATAACAAGTGTAAAAACTAATGCTAACAGATCATGCTAACTTACTTAAGACCAAAAAGTCGAAGCTCAAGTAGTTTACAACTATCACTTGTAAAATTACCGAAATGCTCTGACACCTTGAATATATTTTGTATTATTGTAGGAATTCATTCAAGTCGTATTAACTGCCGACGTAATAGTTATTGTAAAAGTCGTTTAGACGAAGAAGGAATGAATCGACACACAGACTGAGATTGTATTGGTATAAGCCTCTTTCATGATCTGAACTGTCTCCAACATGTATCTCTAACAAATCTAATCAAATTTGTTATAAATACCGAAAGATTCTAGCTGGAATGTTTCTCAATAGAAAGAAATATTTAAGTTCCAGTTCTATCGTGGGTCCTCAATATAACCTATTTTGTAATAGTTCTATATTAGTATTGACACTAATGATTTATATTAGAAAATTTCTCGTTCTGCATTGATACTGGGGAATTGTTATAGAATCTACATTTGTTTTATTGAAACCTTCTTGAATCAGTTCTTTAATCGATAAGTATTGATCGCAATTATTACTCAAGAAACTAGTTCTAGGAAAGTTCGAAAATTTCGTCTTTTGAATAGGATATCTGAAAGCTCTTTAGAAACAACATTCGTTCTAGAATCAATGAATTTAGTTCGAAATTATGACTCTCAGAACTAATTCTAAAAAAAACATATTAGGATCAATTCGAGAACTAATTGTTTCCAGCGATTTTTATTTAAAATCGTTAAGATTGCGATTAGTTTTGAGAAGGTATAGTTCCTTGAAAGTTCTTTTAAAGAAGATCGCACTTTTCCAAGAAGAAAGCTATTTAGCTAAATCATCTTCATCTGTTCTGAATTTTGATTATATTTCCATCAAAAAACGGTATTTTAAGAAAAAGAAGAAGCAATTTCATTTCGTTTCTTTTTCAAGAAGAAAACTCAATAAGTAATCGCTAAATCATCTTTACCTGTTCTGAATTTTGATTATATTTCAATCAAAAGATGGGGATTTTAAGAAAAAGAAGAAGCAATTTCATTTCGTTTCAATATTTGTGTGCATTCCGCATTAAGTTTTTATATTAGTGACAGAGTGTCGAATCGAATCAAAGTAGACAAATGGAGAAAATGTCAATTCGAATTGAAATGCAGAATAGGGGTGATTATTTGATAATAGTTAATTACCTCTATTCCCTCGAAGGGAAAATTGAACTTGTCGGGAATAATTCATTCACAATAGTGGATTTTGTTTGCAACTGCTGTTCATTGTTTACAAAATTCCTTTAAAAAATTTCACAACAGGGAAACTTTTTAACTAGGGTTCTATAGTTGAAACAAAAAGTCGACTTTTCGACTTTTTTCATTTAGTTAAAAGTCGACTTTTCGACTTTTTGCATTTTATAAAAAGTCGATTTTTCGACTTTTTTCATTTAATTAAAAGTCGACTTTTCGACTATAAGTATTTTATAAATAGTCGACTTTTCGACTTTTTTCGTCTCTTCGACTTTTTCCGACTTTTCGATTTTTTCGACTTTTTTTCGACTATTTTT